GGCTTTGTGATAATGGCTATGCCCCTTCCCTTTCATGACACTGTCAAAAAGGTACCAAGCATGGATGTCATTACAATTATGCCCCCCCCCCTGGAAAAATTCCTGCGGACGCCCATGTGCTGCGCATGCGCATTCCGCCGATTACGGGGAAAGGAGGAGGAGCGTCCCAACGCCGAGGGAGCCCGGCGCTGGAAAAAAGGTAAGGGATTAACCCCTTCATCACCCTAGAGCCCGGTGGGAGGGGGGCCCTGTGGGTGAGGGGGACCCAAGGACCTTATAGAGCCAGGAAAACGAGTATGTTTTCCTGGCACTATAGTGGTCCTTTAACCCTTTCCCAAACAGTAGTCAGGAATCTGCTAGAGACTCCATTCTTGGACACATAATTTCTGCAGACTGACAGACTGCCTTGAATTATGTAAACTGCATATACTTCTGGAAAGAATGAATCAATTCATTACTCAAAAAGTAATCCCATAGAAATGTCTGTGTTTTAATGAACCAATATCCCTCCTACAATTTATAAAAGCTACTAAAGGACAGCACTATTCATATGCTGCCAACTGGCATGAAGAATCGATACTACTCCAGGAAAATGCTGTCGATCTGTCAACCCAAATCTCACTCCATGTTCAAAACCCAAGTTATTGTGCTTCCAATGTCAGTATAACAGTACTGAATGATGGAATGATAGTTATGTTTTGTTTCTGCTGATTGTATGGCACTTGCGTAACACTGGATTAAGTCTGCTCTGATCTGTTTAATTTCTTTATCCTATACCACTTCTCAGAGTAGGAGTGGCTTCATTGTTTCACAACTAGCATATTTCCTGTTGGCAATATTTTGCTGTCCTATGTCTAGCATTATTCATGTACTTCCAAAATCCTTTATAGTAAAGCCAAAGGGTCCAAAGTGTCCTAAAGACCTAGGTTATATCATCTATTACATAGCTTTAGAATGGGTGGAGCTCATTTAGATAAATGCAAACAATGTCATATTTATATTCTAGCTCTGTTACTCAAAACACCAGACTGCTCTTAGCAGCTAGAACCACCACAGTCAGGGGTGTAAGTAAAAATGTTGTTCAGTGAAGATTTACAGACTCATTGAATAAACATCGGGACCTTGAGGGAGCACTTGGTAACTTTAATAGTGCTCGTTGCAACTCTGGTGGTAGTTCTGCCCCCCCTGTTGCTCCCCTAAATATAGTAAAATCTTACCTTTTGTAGCTGCTGGCTCTGCTCCTGATCTGCCTGTTTGGCTGATATCATCACAAGTGTTGTTCTGAGCCAATCACAATGCTTTCCCATAGGATTGGCTAAGACTGTCAAGCAGATCCGGGGCAGAGCCAGCACATACCAAACACAGTGCTGGCCAATCAACATATCCTGAATCAATGCATCTCTATGAGGAAAGTTCAGTGTCTGCATGCAGAGGGTGGAAACACTGAATGAGTGTGCAGCATTGCCCCAGGAAGCCCCTCTACAGCTATCTTAGGAGTGGCCACTTGAGTTATCCCTTGACTATAATGTAAACAATATATATTCTACGAAAAGGCAGTGTTTACTGCAAAAAGCCTGAAGGGAATTATTATACTCACCAGAACAAATACAATAAGCTGTAGTTGTTCTGTTTATTATAGTGTCCCTTTAACATTTATATTTTCAACAGATCACTCTAAAAAGGAACACTAGCTATGCAAATCCACAGAGGCGGATCCAGAACCTAATCTCGAGAGGGGCACTGGTAGATTATATAAGGAACAATACAGGAGCAATAACCACCATGGCCCTCTGGAGTGGTTATGGTGCCAGAGGTACCATGGTCAAACTCAGGGGCGTATTAGCCGCGAGGCAAACAAGGCATTTGCCGTGGGTGGCATTTTTCAGGGGGCGGCAAAAAACGCTGCCCCCAAATGCCCAGGGCAAATACCTAGTTAGCCTTGCGGCTAATATGCTGGGCTGGCAGGCGGCGCTGGCAGATGGTCGGGCAGGCGGCTGGTGAGGGAGCTCTTCCTCTGAGCGGTCTGCTCAGCTCCCTCACCCGCCGCAGAGTGAGGCTGGGAGCCAGAATATGCCATCATATTCCGGCTCCCAGCCTCACTCTGCGGCGTGCGAGGGACCTGAGCAGACCGCTCAGAGGAAGTGCTCCCTCGCCAGCCGCCCACCCATCAGCCAACCCATCAGCCCGACCGGCAGCCACTGGGCCCCCAGGGAGAGAGAGGAACCCACCCCCAGCATTCCCAAAGGTAAGGAGGCTGGGGGGGGGGTTATGGCAGCACAAAACCAGGATACACCACTGGTCAAACTGTTTAAGAACAGTTTGACAACGTACCTGTGTTCTTCTGGTATAGGGACTAGAGGTAGAAGTGGGAGATAAAAGCTGTAGTGTACTGAGGGGTGCATTGTGTATGGTTGAGGGAAGCAGTGTATGTGTGTGAGGGGTGCAGGGTGTGTGTGTGTGAGGGGTGTACTGTCTGTGTGATTGGGAGGGATGCAGTGTGTGATTTGGAGGCGTGCAATGTGTGATTGGGAGGGGTGCAGAGTGTGATTGTGAGGGGTGCAGTGTGTGAAGTATGACAGACTTTTCAAGCTTGGGGCTGAGTGTTGCAGCATCTGAGAGGGGAGCAGCTTTTTAATTTTATTAGATATATATTATTCCCTGGTGGTCCGGTGGTACTGTATTCCTCGGTGGTCCCATGTGGTTTGCCCTTGTCTGTTTCATACTTGTTATGGTATTTTGACTTTGGCTTGGATTTGACCATTCTTAATTCCGTGCTTATTGACCCGTGCTTGATTATTCTTTTTTGCTACTTTCTGTTGTTCTATTATCTAAACTTTTACTTGCTCTCAGACTTCCCTTTGTCTCTTTCTCAGGCTACTTATCTTATCTATCCCAGCTTTAAAGGGACTCCCTAGAACCCTAAATCATTTTTCCTTTCTGAAGATTGTGTCTGCTTTATATAATTTAGCAAAAAGTGCAGATTTTAATAGAAATAAAGTAACCTTGTTACGTCTCCTGGCTGTCAACAGACAACAGGTCCTGTTACGTCCTGGTTTGTTCAGCTCAGTGGAGCTAAACTTAAGAGGCAGCAATTGCCCAATGCACCTGCATTGCAAAGACTTCTCATTGAGCTGCATTGGTAAGATTGTGATTGGACAGCCACAGAAAGTCTGGGCGTGGTTAGAAGGGGAGAGCTTGCAAAGGCTGCAGAGAAAAGAACTCTGGTTTCTGCCAGGAGTTTTTAGATACACCAATGAAACATGCATAATTAAATGCATTAGCTTATGAGTATATCCCAAACAATATACAATCGATAAATAATATAAAAAGCAATAGTACTTAGCTTATAAAGATGTATGACAGCCTCCCTAGGTCGTTACCCAAACAAACGACCTATATCATATATAATATAAACCAAAACAGAGAAGATTCGGGATATGGCTGTGTAAATCTACAGAGAAAGCATAAAACAAAACATAGTGTGATATTGTTATAAAACACAATATTTCATGCGCAGTAATCTTGTGCACTCACAGGATGTAGGCAGTAAAAGCGCTCTTAAGGTGCCTTCCCCAATGAAATGGGGGGCTAGCTGGTATTCCTTATCACCTCTGGATCCTTGTTCCACCAAAAGACATCCACAGGTCAGGGTTCAGTAATAAAAATTTTTTATTTAGATAAAAAGTGTAGTCACCAATTCAGCATAGGATACAAATAACAAAAGGTTGTCCTACGCGTTTCGTTCTATAAGAACTTCCTCAGGGACCACAATTAAAAACAATAATAACAATGTATCAATGTACAATACATGAACATATCCTATACAAATCCCCCCTCCCTGTGTCCTTAAATAGGGCTAATCCCTAAAGTCTATTGGTGGATCCAGTAGGTGTGTAAATCCTCCTTGGTTCTAATTGGAGGACTGGTCTTCCTGTGGCAGCTGTTTTTCATCCATTCATTTTCTATAATTTGTAATTCGCGCCTTTTTCGGTAAATACCGGAAGTAGTCATAATTTGCCGAAACCGGAAGTGACGTCGCGGCACTAGCTAGCAGGCCAGTTCTCCGGAGGTCTCACCCCCACCTCCAATACACCCTACTTCTCCAAATCATTATTCCTTTTTCAGATGTCACAAGAACCGATCATCGATCTACCATCGGACAAAATATCCAGCTCGCCAGTCAGGCCTGGGTCTCCGGAGAAATCCCTCACCCCTTCTACCCACAGGTCCCTGAGATACTGGACCATTCCAAAACTCTCAGCGGAGTTCAGACTCAAGGGTATCCCTTTTTCTGCCACTGCCAGGAAGGCTGAACTATACAGGCTCATGACCACACAGGCCAACATCCCCAGGCCCGGCTGTAGTTGACTAAGGCCGCCAGCTCACACTTTGGATTCCACATGAGACACCCTGGTCGCTATACTGGCCAGCCTCCAAACGATCAATCACAGGCTGGCGAAAGTTGAATCGGCTATAGCCACACCACGTGTCTCGTTGGGCTTGGCAGACCTTCCCCTGGCGGTCTCTGTCATACCCACTCCATATGTTTCCCCGGCCCACTCTGTCCCAGATTCCATAAAAAAGGAAATTCAAGGGTAAAGACGTTAATTTGATGTCACTTCTCTTGACCTCCCAAGCAACGCTAGAGACCAAAAGTTATGTACATGAGGACCTTTCGGTAGTCCTGAAAGACAGAGACACACGACTTAACTCTAATCTTTCTATTCCTCAGTTTGTAATTGCCTTTGGCATTTATCAGGACGTTATCTGCACGGTGTATCCACATAGGAGGGAAGAGCTTGATTCTTACTTACACAAGGTGGTTGACATGTACGGAGGGTCCTCATTTTACGATTTCCATAAATCAGTTTCGGCCAAGGCAACTTTCCATCTGGCACGGTTCAACATCAGAATCGACTGGTGCCAGATGGACACAGAACTGTTCTTCCGTCACTTTGCTGGTTTGAGGCCCCCGTCCAGTGCCGCTCGTAGCTCCTCTTATCATTTCCCCGACTTGGGCACTAGCAAGACAGACACTTCCACTTCTCACCACTCCATCACCCAACACACTAGTTAGGGAGGCGGGCAGAGACACACGCTGGACAGTCCTATTACATTTCTGGGCATGGCTCAGGTGTGCAGTGACTTGAATGCAGGGGTATGTAATCTCACGGCATGCAGGGCACTGCACATCTGCTCCATCTGCTTCAGAGCCCACACCAAGTCTACTTGCCCAGCCCCTTTTATCCGCTTCCACTGACCCACTTACAGTGGACCACCTTCTGTCCACAGAAATCACAGCTAGTTTCATGATCGGCCCTTTCCTGTCTTCACCTTTCTCATCTTGGCGTACCAATCCCATCGAGGTAGCCACTCACAAATACTCCAACAAAAAATGTTTGATTATAGACCTCTTCGCACCACACTCTTCCTCCACTTCCAGTATCAACTCCCTCATTCCCGCCAAGGAGTTCTCACTACATTACGCTAAAATTGATGATGCCATGCAAGCAATCATATTAGCAGGTAGTAAGGCTTGGTTGAGCAAAACAGATATATCTAATGCCTTTAAACTACTACCTATTCACCCTTCACTATGGCACTTACACAGTGTTAAATGAAGGAACAAGTATGTTTTCGCCACCCGGCTCACTTTTGGCTCTAGGAGCAGCCCTTAGTTATTCGATATCTTCGCAGAAACCCTCTGCTGGCTGCTCCTAAATATAATCAGGTGTCCCTCAGTCATCCACTATCTAGATGATTTTTTTATTGATAGAACCAGGTTCACAGTAATCTCACAGTATACACTACACCACAGCTTTTTTTACAACACTCGAATCCCTTTGTCACCAAGCAAAACACTCTGTCCCTCTACCAGGCTCGTTTTCTTGGGCATAAAATTGGACACCACTACCTTCCAAGCCAGTCTACCACCAGACAAACTGTCCCACATTATGAACGAGATTGTCCTGTTCCTGCGGAGTGTTACGTGCACTAGGAGGGGTCTCCAGTCCTTATTGGGTTCCCTCAACTTTGCAATGCGTATCATTCCGCAGGTGTGCCCGACTCCTGCCCGATCATTTTGGACGATCCAGCTAGGGCAGATTTACACACGTGGAGTAGATTGTTGGCCGATTGGAATGGGATCTCATTGTTTATTCCCCCACTTTCAGAGCACTCACCTTCAATTCACACAGACAAAGTGGCACACACAGGGTTCGCAGCCATCTTCGGCAACCACTGGTTTAGAGGCGACTGAGACGGATGCCTTGCCGGCCTTTAGAGAAACTTCTACTTTATTTGAGATCTACCCCATTGTAGTGGCCGCCCAAGGCAGTTAGATGCTTCTCCGACAACGCCGCAGCCTGCGACATCATTAACAAAGGTCGGTCCTCCTCACTAACAATTATGAGGCTGATTCACAGGCTGACGTGGCTGGCAGCTACCTCTCAGTTCTTTTAAGTCTGCATCCACATTCCAGGTGTCCACAACACAGCAGCTGACGCTCTTTCACGCTCCCAATTTAATGTCTTCTTTCAGGCACTCCCCACGGCCTACCATCCAGGATACCACCATTCCATGAGCTAATCTGGGACTAAGCACACAATTACATCACGCACAGGTATGCACGCTTCACGCAGTTTCACGACTATTCTATCACTTACGCCAGGGCTTTGTATATTGTACCATGTCACAAGCAGATGTTTGCTTGAATTCAAGACTTTCGCAGTTAAATTATGGTAATTGTTGCCTCTTCCTCTAAACCTACAAACCAAGCATCTTACTTAAACCTCCTATGCTGTCACTCAGATGTTATGTCTCTAAGGTCAACCACTCAATATCAGTCCTAATCCATTACTTCACGTCCAACCTTTCCATTAAGCTTGAGCTACATCATGTCTCCTTCGCTGGTCTCTTTTACCAAGCGCTGCAGCAGCAGCTTCAAACTCTTACACCCCAGTCTACATCACTAAGTCATGGGGTCACAAGTAATCATCAGCTCAGTTACATACATACCTCAATCAGAGTAAAGCTCCTTACAAGCTTTCAGTACTCACGCTGTATAAACTTGGAATAAAGTGTGTTTTCCTTGAATCCTCTTTTGCCCTCTTTTATTACAGGCCTACTCGTACGTTGGTTTCAGCACACCACAACCAACTTTGCTTCTCCTTCTACATTCCATTACGTATTAGAAATTCTGAGCACAAGTTAGAAGGCCATTTGGCCTGAATTTGTGGGAGGAGTTATGACCCTATTTAAACCCCTTCCTCCCTACTAACCTTTGTCGGGCAAGCCGTTTGTTCCCACCCACCTACACCCATATATATTTACAATTGACCTTTGTAGGCCCTCTTTTATTACAGGCCTACTCGTATGTTGGTTTCGGCATACCTTAACCAACTTTGCTTCTCCTTCTACATTCCATTACGTATTAGAAATTCCGAGCACAAATATATATAAATTATTTATTTTTCTAATATCTTGAAAAAAAAAAAAATGTTTTCAAGTTTATTCAACACTTTGAACACTTTGTCATGTTCCTCAAACCTTACTTGAACATTTTTAGTAGTGTGAAAGCAGCGCTGTCTTTATTATTGTTTGGACCCTGGATTTGCTTGGGCCTCCTGGACCATGCCCCCCACTAGATACAAACAGTGACACACAAGCAGATACACAGGGGCCCACACTGACACACATGCAGATACATAGAAACACATACAGAAACAAATGCAGATAGACAGACACATGCAGACACACACACACAAATATACTGACACATAGATATACACAGGCACACAGATACACAAATATACACATACAGATACACATATAGATACACAAATAGATACACATACAGACATACATAGACAAACAGATACACAGATATACAGACAAACAGATACACAGATACACATGCATGCACACAGATAGATACACATACAGACAAACAGATACACAGACACACAAACATGCCTGCAGATACACACATTTACACATACAAACATATACAAACACACACACAGACAGGCATACAGTCACATGCAGATATACAGACACAAATGCAGACACACAGATACAAATACTAACACACATACAGAAAGATACAAAGACACACAGATACACATACCTATAGATACACATACATGCAGATATACAGATATAGACACACAGACAGATATACAGACATACATACTGACACATGCAGATAGACAGACTCACATACAGACCCACAGATAAATACAGACACACATACAGATACAGATACACACATGCAAAATGTAACTGTTTTAGCCACCCTCGTTTCTTACTTTTTGGGTGCAGGAGGGTGGCTTCCCTGGGGTCCAGTCAGCTTGCTGATGTTGTTTGGAGTCAGAGGCTCTCCCAGTCTGCACTCCGCTCTGCTCTGTGATAGATGGAAAGAAGTGACCGGCTGTCACTTATTCCCAGCGTTGACATCATGAAAAGGACCCTGTCATGCTATTAAAGGGATGCAGTTCTGACCCGGTCCATGAGGACATGTTGCCATCAGGTGGCCCCAAGTGTATGGGCCACCCGATAGGCTCCCTCCGTGTGAGCGCCCCGGGGCGGCTACCCTATTTGCTATGTTAAAGATGGCCCTGTGTGGTAAGGTACATTATCCTGCTGAAAGAGGCCACTGAGATGAAGTGGTCTTGATGCCCTTTAAATACCGGCACTATCAATGTATAAAAAATTATTTTCAATATTTTATTTTCACCAGGCAAGCAGTCTTCACATAAAAAAAAAAAAAATCCTTCAGTTTGCAAATGCATCTATTTTTTCCTAGTAATATTAATCATTTGTCTTGTGAATGTAATCAGTGGTAAAAGCATTAAAGAAAGAGAATAAAATCTGAAAGACGAATACAAAATTTGGTACAATATAGAAAAGACAGAACAATTGTCCCTAATGTATAAAGGTGGAAGTAACAATGTTATAGACAAGAAAATGGGGCATTTTCCCAAAACCAGAGCAAACATGAAAGCAAAAGTGATCATGTATAAATATAACCTCTATTTTCTGTACTCCTTTTAGTCCTCTTCACCCGTTTTAAAAGACAAACACAAAAGACTTATCTATTGTAGTCAGAAGCTGTTGGCTGAAGCTCTAAGTGAAGCCCTGCACAGCCCTGGTTCTGATTTTGCCAACCATGCATTGGTAGCCCAGAGTCCCTGTAATATTGCAAGAGAAATAACGCACTCAGCCATACAATTTTTGACAGTGTCACTTCAAATTTGGAGTTAATCATACAGTATATGGGAGAAGGTATAATGCTGTCAGATTACGGCTAATGCGAAAGCAGGGCTCATACAGCATGGTATATGGTTTATAAATATAATGTAATGGACCTATGGTAACCCGACTGGTTACCTCCACTAAAATCTCCTCTCAGCCAAAAATGGAACCTTCAGTGAATAGAGCTCTGTTCCCCCAGTTACTAGACGACACATAGCTTTGATTTTATTGTTCCGAATGCAGCCTTTTTTGCACAGGTCGCCAGCATGGGGTCTCCAATTAATACATACAGATCCCGCCCAGCACCTCTGTGACTGGGAGATAATTGTGTCAATGCTTGCTAAACTAATCTCCCGGATACAGAGAGCCCAATACATTTAAAACAGAATAATAACATTTCCGAACCCCGACATGTTACACATCCTCAGATAGCTCTTGCTGGAGTGCCCAATCTGGCCAAACAGCATCCTGTTCTGTGGAGGTTTGCAGAAAAACCTTCCCATTGAAGTTTTGACCGGTTGGTAGTATGCTTCTAGCCAAAAATTAATTCCAGGCGGTTACGGTAATTTGCTGGTACTTTAACAGGGTCTCTGACCAGTTGAGGAAGGGGGGATCCCCTGGGCTCATAGGTAGCGATTGTCCCTTTTGATGTACTGTAACTCCCCTAAAAGAGTGCTCTCATTGGGCATTGGGATAAGTGTGAAAACCGTGATGAAAGGTAACCAGTCCAAGGTGATACTTGTAGACGAGGCCCAGGGGATACAAAGATAAGTTCCACTGACGCGTTCAGGATATTCCGGCTCATGATAGCAGCTGAAAATTGGGCAGAGAGAGGCTGTTGCTGGTTCCATGTAGAGGGGAGAAGGAACAGAGAGCCAGGATAGTGTTAAATTCATTTAGTGGGGTTTTGGTGGTATCCGTCACATTTAAGTTTATAAAATACTCTGAATTCATTCAGAGATTTGGTGTCCTAATGTGAT